TGTTGTAACTACAGCTTTGTCCTTCCTTAGGACCAGAGTATTATGGAAGCTGCAGAAATACTGGTGGCTTCTTCTCACACCCATGTAAGTACCTAGATATGAAGCACCAAACTTCTAGCTCAGGTAAATGTTAAGAACTGAGAGTTTATTATTTACAGTACCACTTGGTACCTCTTCCAGAGTGGATCAGATCAGTACTCTGCTACTTCTCTTCCTACATCTTTTGGTTTTGTTGGTCGGTAGGATTATGGCATGACTTTCCCTTCTCTTCGCATCTTCCTTGGTGTCTCTTTTTCTTCATTGAAGGCTAGAATTTCAATGTGAGGATAGTAAATAGATATATACCTAGCACTGTGTGCTGAAAACTATGAAGTAATCTTCCAGGTAGTGATTGTTAGGTTTTTCATTGTCCCTCAGCCAATACTTGAAATGATTGAAAAAAGTTGAAACGATACATGCTAGTCTGTCGTACCAATTGCAGCCATTTTAGCTGCGCTGAAAGTTCAGGGCTCCATCATGTTCAGTTAGCTCTCATTGCTACACTTGGTGAGGGGTTGAATGCAAAAGTAAGAAAACCAAGTTGCTGGGGGCTATTGGACAGGGAGAGGAGAGGAGGGAAAAGAAAATAAGGTGCTCTTTTTACAGCAGGATCTATTAACTGGCTCCCATTCTGTAGCGGGCTCACATCCTGCCTGGCCAAGACTGTCTGTCCTGGGCCGTATAGCTCTATCCATAGTGCTCAGGTGTTGGAAGGAGATGCAGAGGTACAGAAAAAGCAGCAGAAGAAAAAACTTTTGTTGGAATGTAAAACCGACGAGTATGCTGGTATACTGCTTATCAAAAAGTTCATAGGCACAAATAACATCTTCTGGAGAAGCTGGCCTTAGGTTTTTAATCTGTTTTTCTCCCTTTGGTCCAGCCTTCTAATACAAATCTTCAAATCTTCAATGCTGCTCACTCAGGCAAGTTAGAAGTAACAAAATCATTTAGTTCACCCTCAAAATATGTTCTTAATGCACCTACAAGTATATGACAAATGCCTGAGAACAAATAAGCTTGGTTTATTTGCATGATTTATGTGTATATATCCCAAATGATTCATTTCTCTATTTCAAGCAGTATGGCTTTGTATAACAAAGACTCCACTTTCATAATGTAAAAATATATTGAATAAATAAATGAATATTTAGTAGACATATGAAATCTGAATGTTTTCCTTTCAACACTAAAACATTTTACTTGTTATTTGCTATATTTACTTGAATTATCAGTCACTAAAAATACTTTATTTGCTTTTTTCCTTTTTTTTTTTTAAACTGGGACAAGTGTTGCTATTATTATCCTGCATACAATTTCCAACAAAATTATTTTAGAGCATGCCACTTACACCTTCCTAGGGGTAAGTATATTGTTGAAGCCCATGATTTTTCCTTGTCAAGCTCTTTTATTCCTCCTAAATAGACACAAAAGTAAGTGTTCGCCTCAGTCAAAAATTCGTTCTAAAAAGAATATCCATTACTTCCATCTTGGGAACCTTTTTTTCTGTTCTGCAAGGCAAATGTACTCAATAATACTGATTTCCTACAATTACAAAAAGGATATTTTCTTCCTGCAGGCAGATGAAACTGAAAGACCTCAGGGCATACTGTGGATGTTCTGTACATTGCTCAGTATACTAATGACTTCAGGTCTTAGCTAGATGTTCCATCTTGAGAACTGAAACTGCTTAACAGAAAGGTCTGTTGACTGGTCACAAAGCTCGGAAGCTCAACACAAAGCAATAAATTTAGTAGTAGCGTATCTATTCACAGTACAGTGATGCAAAAATGAAATCTACCTAAATTTTGGCATGGGGAGTGGAGGTACAAAGGGGAAAAGAAAGTATAGTATTGGGTGAGCTCAGATTATTCAATTGCAGACCATCAAATCCTGTTCCTATGGGATCCTATGATATCCCTTCTGCTGTTGAGTCCATTTTTTAAGTCTTCTTTTTGTCCTCCATTTTCCTAATATGAAAAGTCCTGAGAAAGAGAAATTACTCTCAGACATCCCATTCTTTCAGCAATGTGTATAAGAAGCTCTCTGGAGAATCATTCATTATTCCTATGTTACTGGTTTATATTCGGAATATGAAGAAACAAGACAGCAGAACTGTTCAAATACTCACATATAAAGCTATAATGATTTAATACAAGACAGTGACTGGGGATCTAAACTCTTTTAGGACCTTACCATCAGAATTCTTGCCAATTTGTGGTATTTTTAGCACATGCCAGTATAATCAAAAACTAAAATAAAAATATGTCGTGTTTACTAAGGGAGGTTGTTCTATAATTCTAAAAAAAATCCTTTTTGTCTTCTTAGACAGTAATTGGAAGTATAATACTTGGAATTATTTCAGAGTAAGTCTTTTAAGTATTTTTATTTCGTTGCCTTGCATTCTTCTTGAGCACTCTGAGATAATAAACTGCATCTTATTGTCTTAGTTCCCATGATACAATGACTTTAATGCAAGTTGGAGAAATAACTGCATTTGCAACGCTGTTACTGATTGTACTTGCTCTGATGACAAAAGTAAGTACCATTAATGGACTGTGTAACAACAAATAAACTGTTGTCATGATTGTAATGAACATTTTATATGTTTTATCCTTTAGAGTCACTCAATGTCTTGCCATCATGTCTACTAGCTTTGTTTGCATCTCCAATATTAGCAGTGTTCATAGTTTAAAAAAAAAAAGGTAAATGAAAAATCTGAAAAGTCTGACCTGAGAACTGGGGAACTAAATGAAGAGATCCTATGCTCCTGCAAATCTCTATACCAGCTTCGTTTTTCACTGTACAGGTGTGCTATATCAAGGGTGAGAGAATCCAAACATGCATAGGTGGAAGGTAGTCTGGTTTTAGTTATTAACATATTACCATTTATTTATTCTTCTCTTAGAGCATCGCTCAGAAACGTTGATGGGTATCAATAGGACGGCAGCAGTAGTTGGAAGTCAGTTTAGGAAACTAACAAAAACAGACCCTTCACAGAGTTGGAAATCAATTACACGTGTTTTAGGAATTATTCAGCTAATTAACAGACCAGAAAACGTTAAACCAGCTGTAGTAATCTCAGGATTTATCATGACTATATGTCATTAATTTTAGTTTATTCACCATAATCCCTGAACAACATATAATCTTTTTAATTCAAAGATGTGTTGGCCAATGGCAACTAAAGACAATCTTACTGTGCTTGCTGTCCTCAGAAAACCCTGACAAGCATGACCATATCAATCGTCTCAAGCATCCTGCTGCTTATTGGAGCAGCTATACTTGTCCTTACAAATTCATCTGTAAGTGGTTTACTTGATGTGCACTTATGAGATACGCTGCTATGGCTATAGTTTATCTTGTACAGTACCTGTAATCACTGTATCTGTATTGGGTAGTATCAGTAGCTTCTTATCACACTGTAGCAAATTATATAAAAATGTTTAAATGCAGAAGTCGTTTTCTCTATTAAGGTCCTTTTCTGTGTTAGGGAAAGTGGCAAAAATGTTTAGACGGCAAGGTTTATGTTTAATCAGCTGCTCAGTAGATATTTTTTCAATGATGTGATTTTTTTTTTTCCTATTTAATTCCTATTGAATAGCAAGACCAAACGGCTAAATAGGTATTTAAAGTTCCTGTGGGCTGTTTCACTAGAAAACAGATGAGTTTTGCACCTTTCCAAACCAAGTAATTATCTATCATGGTTAGGTAAATAACAGAAGGGAGGTGGATTCACATTTGGTTTAGACTACTAACTACTAGACTACTTAACTACTACATCATTTGATAGTCTTGTCTTTATTGTGTCTTTTTTTAACCTGACCAGAATATGCCTTTCTTAGATTTAGTGCTGCTATTGATTTAAATACAGTGAAGGATGTCATTTTTATTTGATTCTAGCTTTCATTTCATAGTGCAAATTGTTGCCTTTTCCTACAGAAGTTCCAGGTTATATATGCTGCATTTGGAACTCTGCTCTTTGCTGCTGTAAGTAGAACGTTTATATGGCATGCTTTTTCTCATAAGGGTAAGATATTATCTTGCTACCAACTTTTTTGCTTAAGCTTTCAAACTTCATGTCCAACATAAGGTTCCCTGATCCTGCAGTCAGACGTCTGTCTCAGTATGACCTTCTATTTGGCATGGGAGGATGCTGAGATCTGTGTAGCTGCAAAATTGGCCACTTCCTTAGGCCTGTTCTGTAGAAAGGCACACTTCTTCCCCCTCCCCAAATTTTTAAATATAGAACTTGGTGAAGCAAATAACAAGGTGCACTTCTTATCTGCCCAAGTAGGTAGACGTTTTGCTTTGCTGCTGAAACACAACAGTGGTTTCCAAACTACTCATAGGTCTCTGCTGATAATAAGCTGCCATGAAAATTTTCTAGATACAAGGGCTGCTCCTGTTACCTGCTCCTCTGGTTGCGGCGAGAGGGGGAATGTGTGTGTCTAAACATGTGAGAACTGAGAACTCCAAATCAGACTCCAGTTATAAAGTACCCCTAGCCTCCAAGGAAAGCAGTGGAACAGCCTGGGAAGTTTCCCATCTTTTTAGACATCTTAGAAGGCTGAAAGTTCATCACAGTATTAGTGTCACTTGTGGGCAGGAAGCTGCATTAGAAAAAAAACAGATTGTGTGCAGGGACCATTAATGAAACAACGAGGCATGAAAAAAACAAACCACTTTGTAAATGAGGAGAAATCTGAACCTCCTTACAAAGCCCATCTGCCATTTCCTTTGTCATGCTCAGGTTTCCTCTGAGTTAATACCTCCCCCAGTAACATCTCTTTTTCCTCTTAATATTCTCTTTCTCACTACCATTGGTTCATAGCGGTCCACTGTCTAAAAATAATCTTGCAGTCACGAGGACTTAATAACCAACTATTGTCCCTGCTGGAGAAGGGTTATGACTTTGCCCTCATCATTAATAGGGAATTCCAGTCATTCTGTGAAACAGAAACTCCAAACTGCAAATCATTCATTTGCATTTCTCTGAATTGTCCCTATTATTTATCTCCAAATAAGGGCAAACAGCATGCAAGGACTTTAAATTTTGTACAAATTGTAAAAACCCAAAAAAGCAAAAATGAATATAATATACATGAATATGAATGAATAATAAAAGCATTTTTCTCCCTCTTCTTCCTTCAAGGATTTGATGAAGATAGTAGCTGAGCTTGAAAGGCAACCCACAAAGGATCAAGCCTCCATGAATTACACTCAGACAGCATGGTCACTTTACATACACATTGCTATGCTCTTCTTCTTTACTTTGCTGTTAGTTGATGCAATACCCTTACACTCTTTTCCTTGATCATCCACTAAAGGAAGGTACACGTCAGCTCAGATTACAGGATGCATTTTTGTATAACAGTCTTCTTATAGACAAAAAATTGTCTTAGGGAATTGTAGAAATAGGTATTAAAGGTGGGGGGAGGTTGTTGAGTGTGGCATAATATACTGTGCTAATCTATAAAATATGTTACCTCGCTGATGAGATGGTGTCATCACAAGGCTTAGGGTCAGTCTCATGAATGAAGGATGTCACATTATTACCAAAAACGCAACTCAGAGTTACTAAAGATGAGGAATATTGAGGGAACCCGATGTGAAAAGCTTGCAGACTGCAGAAAAAGGAGAGGAGATATAACATTTGAGGGGGTCACTGTGGTTACTGTAAATAACTTTCAAGAGTCATTATTTTTACCTTCTGATGCTTGTTAATTTAATTAAGAAGAATCAGCTAAACAATCAGCTTGTTAATTTAATTAAGAAGTCGGAGGAAGTGGGAGAAAGGAGCGCTCGGTCAGAAGGCCAGGAGTGAAGTCACTTTCACCGGTCACCATTACTGCAACACACTGAACATACGCATCTGAAACGCATGCAGTAACTAGAGCTATTTGAGATTTAACTCTGTATTAGCAGTCATGCTAGCCCGGTGCTACATACTGATCGCTTTCTTATATTTTAAAGGTAGTAGGGATGTGGTATGACCCCTACTTTTCTGAAAACTCCTCATGCCATTCGATAGTTGTTATGGCCATTTGAACTAGAACCCTCTAAAGCAACCGGAGACATTCTGAGCTATTGCCAGAATCTCTTAAATTCAGCATTTATTCCCTTAAAGTTGACTATTCTTCATTGTATTTGAAGAGGGGAGAACTGAGGCAACAAACTGAAACAAATAGGCCTGGTTCTTGCTGTCACAGGTCTCACCGTATTAAACATCATCAACAATTGAGACACTTTCAAAATGTATTTCAAAGTAAGTCAAAGTTTTCCGTGATGCTAAAATATAACTCTACTGCAACTGTTACAGACTTTCACACAATGTACTAAAGTCGATTTGTGGTTTCTGGGTGCTACGGTCACATAAGTCAAAAAAAGCTGAAAAGAGCTATAAAGTTAAATGTAAGAGCATGTTTAAGAGGATCAGTATTCCACGTACATCTCTTACGCTACATAGGGAGCAGGAAACACTAAATACAGGGAGTTTGGGTGATCTGAGCACCCCTCACAGTGTTTTGACCTATTTGGCTTGTAAAATGTTTACTGCATAGAACTTTAATATGAACTATCCAGTTTCTATTCATTTGAATATCTTTATATAAACTCTGGTATTTTTCCAGTTCTGCTATTTAAATATGTTCATTCGTATACTGAGACTATCAAAGTGTAAGATTAGTCTCTCTCTTTCCTTAGCAACTGTTTGGGTTTTTTTTTAAATATGGAACCTCTGCTGATTCTGTTTTTTACCCTCATTAACTGCAAAGACTGAAAAAAGTATTTGAACTCAAATTTAAGGGGGTAAGCTAACACACAACTAGTAACAACATCAAATTCAAATCATGTGTCAGCGTTGGCTTGCTCTGGAAATAAGATAAATTACTGCTGCAAGGAGGCCAGGATAGGGAAGCCAAATAACATTAGTTCCTTAATCTGTGTTCAGCTTAACAAGAAATTTATCCCCGTATGTAAACAAAGTGCAGAGCAGAAAGCTACATAGGTCCACATTTTTTTAGATTCAGCTGAACAAACTTCCTTTAAAAGATGACAGGTAAACGGACTACAGCCATATTGTACATACTGCCAGGAGAAAAGGTTCTAGTTTAAAGAACAAAAATCAAAGGAGATCACTTATCTCCAGTGCAACAGAAAACTGTTAACTGCATCACTGATCAAGTTTAGACCCTCCAAGTGTTTATTCAAAACTAGTCTTAGGTTATTTTTAGGAAACAAACACAAATTTCAGTCACAGTTAACTACATTAAACAAGTATATAAAGTGCTGGATGATCCGAAGTAGGGATTGTAACTCATTTCCTAGAAATAAGTTAGAAAATAACAACACTAAAGGCAACTTCAAGTCATTCACTTGCTCATTGAACTGGAAGATGAAATTAAATTTGTAGCTTTTTTCCCCCCAAACTGAGCAATAATGACTGAAGAATGGAGCATGGAAAAGAAGCATCAAAGAGAAAGAGAATTTCCATTTTAAAAATCAGATATAACCTAAAATAAATAAGTACCACAATCCACGAATGTTTTACAATTTTTTTTAAACTTCCTGTACGGGGTTCACAGACCTGAGAATACACCCAAAATAACTGGTCCAGAGTATTCCTTTTAAAAAAAATTATAAATTGTTGGTAACAGTTTCTTTAATGGAGATTGCTGGAGTAGGTCCCACATGAGTCCATATATAGCCTTTCTCTGGTCTTGTAGGAACAGTAGGGAAGGGAGATGATCGGGATTTGAAATATTCTGAAGGAGCATGACAGACAAATTCTAAATATTCCATTTTCCTCGGGAGATCTTCTTCTGGTCCTAGGAAAAAACAAATAAACCCCAAAGTCAAAAATTTCAAGGCTTAAAACTGGAACATCCAATAACTACGTAACATGCAACAAGAGCCAAAATCCCCCACAGAATATGCAATTTCAGTTAATGGCATTGTCAGTAAAATAGCCTCAAATACTACAAACTACTAAGAAACGTCTACATTTCTTTTTGTCGGCATGATTTTTTTTTTTCAGCATTCAGTTAGTCGAGTGGAATGAAGTATTTTAGTTAACATATTTTAAATGAATACTGTTTGTAGCCTGCCTGTCAAAAGGATTTTCCCGAAATATTAGTAATTTTATAATCAGTTACAGAACACTTTCTCTGCTAGTGCTTACGCCCTATCCATTCTAAGTACCCTGGAAGAAGACCAGTTAATTCAGTACACTTTAAAAGAAACAGCTTGCCTAGTGTATCAGATTTATACTGTAATAACTTTGACTCCAGCTATGGAGGAATAATTTAATCCTCGAAGCTGCAAGACTGTAATTGTGCCTGTCCTGTGAGCACATGTAAGTAAACAATCCCACTCACTGGAGCAGTATATATGTACATACATGCAGTATATACACATATATACACACACACACACACATATACACACATACATAAATAAAACATTACTCGAGTGAGATAAATGATTACAGGATTAGGGTCTAAAATGTGGCAATTACATAAATGATTTTGACAAATTAGAAAAGTTAAAAAATTACAACTCTGCTTGCATCAGTCTAGGCATGCAGAAGTCGCAGAAGATGACAGCTTAGAGATTACCTATGATATAGGATGCAGCATCAAAGCAATCTTTGGGGCTGGCTTGCGTTGGAATGAGCCAGGTTAGTGCAGCGCTCTTTTCACAGTATTGGTCCTGAATAAACCCACGGATCTGAGCATAGTATGTTTTTCCATCCTGCTCATCAACCACTGAAACAACATCTCCAATTTGATAGTACACGCCCTAAAAGACGTACAAATGATAATTAAACAATCTGATTTTAGAAGCTTCACTCTAATTCTGATTCATGAGTATCTTAAATATCAATATCTTAACATTATCTCAAGTTAACCCAGTCTCAAAAGACAATCTTAATCCAGCTACATGCAAGTGAAAGGTGGCGTAAGATGAAGCTTGTCTCATCTATGCAGCCATAGGCACAGCTTGAGCAGAGTCACCTAATGTCTAGAGGTGTGCGTTTGGTCCCAAAACGGCTTCTGAAACCAAACAGGCAATTCCACGTGGTCTACTGTGGGCTCAATGTGCAATGGCAGAAGCAACTTGGCCTTATCCATCTTCAAAGAAACGGCTAGCTCAGCTGTTCTGCTCCTTCCCTCTCTGTGGACTGTTATGCCTGTCTGCAGGCTGGCAATGGTCTTATTCTGTCAGAAGTAGAACAGCAAGTCCGATGCCATCTAGAAATAGTAACAGCAGTAAGCTGTGCTGTGTACAGAAAAAGCAGCCTTCTGCACATGAAGAAGAGTGTACCAACCCAGATCCGCATGCAACTGAGTCCCAAAACACAGACCCGTCTCCTTCTACTGCCAAGGCTCAACCATTTTACAAGGTGCCCTAACGTGCATGAGGCTGCACAGCGATGGCAGTATCAGTTCATGTTATAACAGTGTCACACAGCACAAGGCAGTGTTTGCACAATCAAGATCAGAGTTTGCCATGAATCACCCAGCAGGGTTTTGTTTTTAAAACAGATAAAAAGAACACACAAACAAAAAAAAATCAACCCACTCCCTCCCCAAAAACACAGCCAAGCGTAAAAACAGACAGATCTTGCATAAGGGTGTCAGGTTAGATAGGACTTCTGATATAATTCTCAGGAATTTCTGATGAAAACAAAAAACACAATAAAAGACATCGATTCTCTTCCAAAGCAGTCAACAGCAAAATAGAGATTCATCTCAGATGTGAGACATGCAGCATCAGGTCTCTAGTGAGTATAAGGAAACTCGGTACCCCACTTCTCAAGTGTTTTTATAGCATTTGGCAAATGTACAATGGCTACTGGCTATCCTGGCCCTTTTCATTTTGAGGAAAATACGTCTCAAAAGGGTTGTTGTTTTACTGGAAGGCAAAAGCAAGTTTCAGAACTTCAAAACACTAACATGTTGGTGCACTGTTAAAAATGCTCTAGAATGTGAAACGTGAGAAGGTGACCGGCTTCTGCTTTCCTTGGAAGGTTCAACAGATCCTGTTCCCAGGCTGCCTGACGCTGCTCACATGCAGCTCTGAAAGGGGAGCAAGTTCAGATGTTAAGGCAGGGCAACCTATCATCTGCACTATTCTATATGCTTAACGTAGGAAGCATCTCATACGTTTAAGTGATCATCAGCTATAGTCAGTTTTGCTCGCTATCAGCACAGTGAGAGTTAAGAATTTTCCTTCACTCATTCACTTAACCACATATAATTTTTAAGATCTTGATGGCAATAATTACTAGGGGGACTAAATGCATCTTTTTCTTGGAAGAAGAAAAATGGGACGATAACAACTTCTGGAATAAACTGCTTCACAAGCCTCAATGGCAATGGCATAAAACAAAACAACACACTACACATAATGCTGGGAAAGAAAGTATAGCTTCTGCAAATACATCCTTAGCACTTTCAATATTTGCATTAACTTTTGAAATCGGAAACAGAAACAGCCAGATCCATTTTGCAAACAAACTTGCATAAACCATACCTTATAAAAGATCGATTCTGCTGTAATTATAGTGGATACAGATTCAGGAGCCTTGATAGGCTGAGAAAACAACAGAGAAAGGGAAGGTCAGCAGTGTTAGCACAAACACACTATGTGATGCTAATTTGCTCCCCCCCCCCCTTTTAGAAAGGGGGCATCCTGATAGAGAATCTTCTTAGAAAATTAGGAAACAAGGAATGAGTGCAAACATGTCAAATGCGCAGCCCCTTGGGGGGGGGGGGGGGGGGCTTTTCGG